AAACTTCATGAGAACAATTCTATTAGACATAGCTTTGAATACTCACGTATTTTACAGGATATAGGCGTGTAGATATGTCCACAATAATTTAAGCTTCTGGTTTTTGGATCATACATCTTCAAGAACAACATAACATCATCTGAAAATCCAAACAAGGTTAAAAGGTTGATGCTATCAGACCTGGAAACGTTTTGTAGACCGTTTTTGCTCTTTAGTAAGAATAAACAATTGAAACACGAAATATCAATTGCCTAAAATGGTTCTGAATATACTGTAAATGCACACATTGAAACTCACGGTCTTTGTCGAACTTGGGTAACGTTGCACCGCTGGCGGCCATTTCTGGATCTACAGTTTCCAGAAATATTGTCCAGGGGTTCTCGTTATCACTCAAGTCGATCATCTGTTCGTGAAAATGAAATGGACAGCTTTATTCTCGCAGAGAGAGCAACATAAGAAACAAGAATGACTTTAGAAAATAAGAACGTTTAAAAACGTGAGTGCGCAGACTTACAGACTTGTTGCAATCTGCTTCATAATCCAACATGGCCGGCCGTTTAGTGCCGTTGCTTCTGGCCTGCATTGGCCACAGTCTCATCTGGTCCTGTGGGAAACCCTGAAGGAGAAACAAACGTCAATTGAGACTCTTCACGGACACACCAGAAAATAAATGCAACTAATCTGACGTTAACTACATATAAACACCAACAAATGAGAATTTAAAACAACCTAACACAAGCTTGCCTTAACAGTTGCCATAACTTACTGATCCAAATTTCTGAAAAATAGTGTGTATACAGAACAATACAATGTTCCGATGCTTAAATTGACACCACAACTCCCGACTAGTCTATAGACAATACTGCTGGTTTAAGGATTTGCAAGCAATGCATTGCAGCATTAATAAATGATGTGGTTACAGTAGCAGGATTATCTTTTCGCTGTTTGCTCGTGCATTTGCTGTGTGATGTTAAAAGCTCATTTTTTACACTGGTGGTTGACTGTCACCATGAATAAATGAAAAGCATTAATAACTGCTTTGAAGGTAAGGTATTAATAACTGCTTTGTAAAGGTAAGATTGCGGAGTTCATCATTACAAGTCATATTAAACCATAAACAAAAATGGAATAATGACAAATGTTGGTTGCCAACTGACAATTTGCCGAACAAGAAATCTACAGTTGCACAGTGCAAGCATTTATTGGCATTTTGGCAAGGCATTTTGCATCATCAATGAATACATTTATAAATCAATCTGGATAAACAGTTTCGATCAAGAAAAAGGACTCAAGCAGATGTCATCAACAGAAATTGTGTCAAGTAAAGTCTCACCATGGTCTGTGAGAGGTTCTGAACAAACTCCGCCAGAGTGGAGCTCTTCAGAACTTTGAACACTGTGTATTTTACTTTCTCTTCATCATACATGTCGTTGCCCTGATGCCCACAGAACTGGTCTTCTGTCACCATCTACAGGAACAAAGAGCTAATATTTGTTAAACAGAAACACAAAGTAGAATAGAATTATATAACAAAGCCCACTCTTGGGATCTAAATTTAGTCTTTGCAAACAAGACCTGAAATTACCCATTTTACCTGCCACACCAAGTGTGATACATGATACATCTTCCATTCAGACAGGACATTTGAATAAACAAGCGTGACTGATTTAATCTGGCATTATGTGACTCCATACCTGTACTTGCATGTAAAGGTGAGCCTCCTGCCTCTCTTTTCTCTTCTGGGCTTCCACCCTCTTCTCCTCCTGCAGCCTCTCAACCAGCTGCTGAGGGATATCCATGTCTGTGACCGGCTGCAAGACCTCACCTGGACATGACAACGGCACTTATGAGCACAGATGGACATAAGACAAAC